TAAGATGCCATAGTGTAGAAATATCCTTAGTATCAATTTTAAAATAATTTGATCGATCAAAAATATATAAATGCCGAGGAAACATTCTATTCTTTACCATTTTCACATGTGATATCAATGTTTTACTCTTGTCACAAATTGAGAGAGTCGTATCTTTCATCTCAATATCATAACCTTTTTCAAGTAATTATCCCAGGCTTATAATATTATTTTTCATATCAGGAACATAATAAACATCTAAAATGCATAATTCTTTGTCATTATTAAGTTCAAGGAGAATTTACCTTTGCCTCTTATCTTTGAGACAAATCACCTAATGTAATATTCCCATAATAACTTATATATGAAAATAACTCTTTAATGCGACACATGTGATTTGAGGTTCCTGTATCTAGATACCATATCATAGACTGATCCTCTTTCAAATTATCATAACTTATTAGCAAAACTTGATTTTCGTTCTTTTCTTCCTCAACGAAATTTATCTTATCACCTTAATTGTTAGGATTTTAATAATATCCACAAGAGTAATGTTCATACATTTTGTAAACATAGTATTATATTTCAAACCTTTTATAATTTCTGCCATAACCACGGCCTCGGCCATGTCTTTGGCCATAACTTCAGCCTTTTTAGCTAAAATTTTCACCACCACCTTTAGTGTTTGGAGATTCTTGATTGTTATGATTTTTTTCTCCTCTTCCTCTTCCTCTACGTCCTCTTCCTCTTTGAGAATTTGATTCACCTTTATTTTTATGACTAAGCTTGGTTTGTAGTGTTTGTTCCATAGTTTTATCTCCTCCTCTTTTTGTAATCCTTTGTTCATAAATTTGAAGGGAACCCATAAGTTATTCTATCAATATTTTTTTCAAATATTTAGATTCTTCAATCGCGATAGCAATAAAATCAAATTTTAGATTTAGAGATCTCACTATTTTTTCTATTACTCTTTGATCACTTATTTGTTCACCATTTCATCTCATTTGATGAATAATAGAAATGACTTTTGAGAAGTAATCAGAAATAGTTACAGAAGTACCTTGTTGTAATTTTTCAAACTTGGCTCATAAAACTTATAGACAAATTTACTTTACCTTATCAATACCACCAAATGCTTTTTGAAGCATTTCCCAAGCCTCCTTTGAAGTATTTGCTAGAGCAATGATCTCGAACATTATATCAAGTCCTTGGTAGATCATGAACAAGGCCTTTTTCTTATTCTTCCTTCTTTTTTTGAGTTGTTTTCTTCCTTCTACATTTATTGCTCCTTCTTTTGTTGGACATGTTTCAACAAATCCATCTTCTACAAACTCTTATACATCTTGGGAGCTTAGAAAAACCTTTATTTGGATGCATCATATGTCATATTTTTCTTTTATCAATATGAGGATCTGGAGTTGAATGATACTTGAGGAAGAGACCATAGCTTAACCTATGCTCTGATACCAAATATTGAACTTGATAGGAAGAAGAGATAAAGTTATCAAATAGAGGAATAGTAGAACATGCTTCAATCTTCAATATTTCTCTCAAAAAATCTCTTTATAGAAACTCGATATATTTCATGACCCAACATATGATGTTTATATAGTTTCCAAAGATATATTACATTAATTGTATTCAAAATAAATTATTTTCTTTCAAGAAATATTTCAAGTACCAATAAACTTGTCCTTCCATAGACATTTAATTTATTTTTTCCTCTTGATGTAATGAATCTCCCTCATGATGCAATGAACATTTCTTTTGATAAAATTAATCTCTTTATGATCCTTGAACAAGTTTAATTCCAAAAGAGAGTTCACTAAATTTGTTGGTGATACGTCTATTATTGATGCTTTCAAAGATTACTATATTTTAGATTCTCATATTCCATTTAAGCATGCTTTCAGCAATATACATGCTAGTGATAGATCTTTGGTGGTTCTAATCTCATTGTTAACCATATATCACATGATAATTTTTAGTTTTAGAAGCTAGATAATAAGAGGGTTTGTTCTGCTAAGTCTGCCTATCATTTTCTTGCTTCTCAGTTGGGATGGTTGATCCTAACGTGGACTAGTTGTATTGTTTGTGGAAGCTTCCCGTGTTGCCTCTGGTTAAAATTTTCTGTTGGAAATTTTTGCACCGCCACCTCTCATTGTCGGATTGATCATCTCAACGAAGAGTGTGCAGTAATGCTACTACTTGTCCCTTTTGTCAATCTAAAGCAGAAACCATTAATCACTTCTTTCTGTGTGTCTTTCCTATTAAATTATGGCAACTCTTTAAATCTTAACTAGATATTCAATTTTTAATGAGGGGGTGCAGTGTCCCAATTCTGATGGTCAAACCTTGTGGGTTCTAAATGATATTGGTCTTTGGTGAATATGGAGGGCTACGAATGATCTTGTTTTCAACCCCATTGCTTGTTCTGTTTACAAGATTTTTCGTAAGATAGTAGAATTTGTTCTCTCTAATGACAAGGCCAAATCTTCTGATAGCATGGTGCATGAAATATGTCCATATCCTATTTGTTGGGTTAAATCTTTTGAAGGATGAGTGAAGTTGAATCGCGATAGCTTTTCGAAAAAGCCACACTGAGGGGATTAGAATGATACTCGTGACCCATATTAGAAGTGATACTCACGACCCAATTTTGGTTGGATGTCGGTACCTTACGGATCGTGATATCATATGTTGTGAAGCTGAGGCAATTCGGGAGGTTTTGATGGCTGCATCAGTGGATGTTCAAAAGATTTATAGTTAATTTGATTATATGTGTATTGTTTCTATGATACACTACAAACATGATATTTTCTGGATGAGGACTCTTGTGAATTGCATCATCAAAAGGGATGTGGATTTATGTAAATCTAATAGTGTGGACTCACACCCATGTATAAAGAATATCTTAATGAGCCACAAAAAAGCAATTAAAAAAATTCTAGCACCCTTAATTTCATCTTATTCATTTTTGAACTTAACTAACAAATCGATCATCCCTCTTTGGGAGTATTCTATCTAAAGTTGTTTTGGCTTTGGAAGCTTGAGGATTAAGGTTTCATTTTGTGTAATTCTGCTTATTAATATTTGTATTGTCAGAAGGTTGATTCTATGATGAATGGGGACAGTTGGCATAGGTTGTGAAAGTTGTCAGTTTTACTGAGGGTTAGTTGTCAATTTTTTGTGCTCTGATATGCACAACTCCTTTTGTAATTTTATGGTTTAGCTAATATAATTTTTCTTCTTGGAGAAAAAAAAAAATCAATCATCCTAACTTATCCAAAATGTAGCTTGAATATATATGTTTCCGAATTGTAATCATCCCAAACTTAACTAAGAAGTATCTTGATATCTGATGTAGGCATCTACAAAACCCAACCTTACCATCCCTACACTCTATTTAGCATAGCAGCTTCAAGAGCCTTTCTTAAGTTGGCAAGACTGAAAAGAGTGAAAATTGCAAATAGCTAATATAATTTTGTAACACATACCAGCAACTTGCAAATTGCTTTGAACTACTGTTAAGCAAGGATTTCTGTTTTCCATAGATAATACTAGCTTGAGCTTCGCAGGGCTAGTACAGTACACGTTCATTTACAAAGGCTTACATATATTTCAGAATAAAGGATTCGTAGAAGAAGCGAGCATAGTACAATACACATTCATTTACAAAGGCTTACATATATTTCAGAATAAAGGATTCATAGAAGAAGCAAGCATAGTACAATACACATTCATTTACAAAGGTTTACATATATTTCAGAATAAAGGATTCATAGAAGAAGCAAGCATCGTCATACAATCAAAGTGGAACAGGATGTACAAGTAACAAAGAGATATATTCCTTTGTCTTCGTAGAGGAGTTGGTGTATCCATCGATGTACTTATAAATATTTTCTGCCACTCGTGAATAATTAATAATCCTTTCAAGTAAAGCAACGGGGAATGCAGTTTGATTGAGGCACTCTTCGTTTATATCCTTCCATGCATCGTCAACTAGAACTTGGAGCTTCTTACATGCCACATGCACATCTGTTCCGAACTCTTTCATGTAGCATTGGACAGTGGAGGCAACATGTTCCCTAGTTTGTTCCAACTGTAAATTTCATGAAAAAAGAGGATTAAAGATCTACAAACTGGATTCTAAGGGATCCTTTCAGGATTTACATGTTCATTATATTAAAACAAGACTATTATCAATAATAAGGTGTAGATGAAAGGAATTTGGGAATCTACAGATGTGAAAGCTTACAAACTGGAGTTTTTTTTTTTTACTAGATTTCTTAATATAAAATCATTTAAGGAGTTCAGCAAAACTTTGATAATGCAATTGAGTGATACAAGAAATGCTTTTGAGGTGATAAATACAAAGAATATTGAAGACAACCTTTGGAGATTACCTATTAAACCTCAATTATGGTCCATCTCACCTAATTGGAGAATGTATGTTATTTTATTTTTCTTTTTTTTTTGTGTTATCATATTTCTACTATGACAAAAATCAGTGCAAAATTTACTATGAAAAATGTTTATATAATATAAAACACAGAAGATTATATTATGACCATACCTCGTGTGAAGCAATGTCATTCATGATACGAGTAATTATTTCAGAAGCTTGGACAATCTTTGGGAAACTAGTAATCCATTGAAATGCCTCCTTAGTTGCTATTTCTCCCATTCCAACGAAAGAGGCACATTCGAGCATAGGATATGTTGAACTTATGAGGGAAACATGTAGATGTTCTTCCAAAGTTGGTACGTAATGTTGATCTCTCCATTTGGATTCCTCAAAATAAGCTTCAGATAAATCTTTTATCTATACCCAAGTAAAACAAAACCATTCCTTAATGTTTGTAATACATGAGTAGCATCTACAAGTGGGACAATCTAAGTTCAATACTGTCGCATATGAAATGCTTATTCTTTGTATTGGCCAATAGTGGATTCATTTATTGTTTATGTAATGCTAATTAATAAAAGTGAAAATAAGAAGAACTTTATAATCTCATCACTCACCGCTTCAGATAGGTTATGCGATATTTCTCATCGGAAGCCAATAAATCTTCAAACTCTTCAAAGGTGTGGATTAGCTTTAGATAATAATCCTTCATGTATCCTGGTAATTGATGAACAACCTTCGCATTCCACCTGCATATGTATTAGTTTCACCATCTTTAGAAAAATAGAACATAAACATACGTGTTGTTATTTTACTATACACAATGACTAAAACTATTATGTGATATTTTATTTTCTTATGTGATATTATCAGTGGCACCATTTGTTATCATCTATTAAGTCATGATAGTAAAAGGTAATCTATCCATCGATATAAGATTTGCAGACCTTTGAATTGCCTCAGTTAGTCGTTGACTCTCCTCCAATGTGCTATAGACATCATACATGTCATCCAGAATTGAAGTAAGGGCAGCCACCTTGGTTGTTATCACTCGTGCACGAGAATAGTAGGGTTCAAAGTATACCTCCAGGATCCAGAAATAGCATTCCACCAATCTATCTCGAGCAAAACTGAGATGTTTTGAGGGGGCTAAATCATTCCACCACCTTCAAGTCGTTCACAAATCAAAATGGTATTACATATCAGTTTAAGTTTGATGGGAGGAGGAACCAATCTCAGCAATTAGTCTTCACTTGTTTACATTTGCAACTTGATTGTATCTTTTTTTCTTTATAAAAATCCAGAAGAAATATAGCTCCAGGGAATTCAAAAGTGAGGAGGAGCTTACTTGGTGATGTTCTCAAGCTCCTCGCGATGAAGAGATTGCAACAAATTGAAGTCCAACTTTGCAAGCTCCAGGATGGCATCATCTCGTGTGGCATCCTCTTGGTATATAGATATGTATTCTCTTGCCAAGAGCCTTCTAAATCTCCTACAGAGAGGTGTCTCGAGGTCAAGAGACACTTGCGTTGTTAACGGTGGTTTAAGATCAGCTAATGCAGACACTAGGCTATTCCTCGTAAAAGAGATGGCTTCATCAAGAATGATCTCCCCATGCGTCCCAAGATAGGCTGCGTTGTACAAGCTTAACAGTCCTTTCACATCACTCCCCAAGGTAGACATGAAACTCCCTCCCTCTTCTTTGAACTTGTTAAAGACAACTACAGAAATACATAAGATTTTCTGTTTTGAGAAAAAAACAAAGTCATATTATCAAAATTAATTTACCGTTTTAAGTGATTACGTGATAATCAATACAATGACTTTTGTGTGTGATTTTTATGTCTATTTTACCGGAGAAAATATTTTTGGTACTGCCAACGTCTATGAGTGAATTAAAAAAAAGATGATTAAAGAAGATCGTATTGTTTTGAATCACACATACAAATACTGCTTGGGGACACATAATATCCTTGTTATCAATATCCGCATCATGGATTGACTTAATGCTTCGCTTATTCCGATTCGAAAGTGATAATCCAATCCAAGAAGCTGGATTGAATCAATCAGTTCCATGGTCTGCAGTAGATCAGTAGTATGATTGAACATGCTCTTTACTTGCCCCCTCGGCTCTTCAGCTCTCTATTTCATCCTTGCATCACACCTCTGCATCATCAATGAATATATATATATATATATGCGCATGTACACATGCATACACATACTCATAAAAACATAACAAAAGTATTATCTAAGATATTCTATAGCCAGACATATTTTGGCCATAGAATCGTAATATGATTAAATCAGAATATTATTAAGATATTATCCATTCTACTTTAATACCATTTTAGAAAACATAACATAAAATATATATATACATACATATATATATGTATGTATATATACATATATACACACACACACACACAC